TTTCCCCACAGCAGGCATAAACAGCATGATGGCAAAATAATACATAGGCAGTGCACTGTCAAACATAAAAGAGACATTTATTTATTCTTGATCACAAACAATGTCCTCCATTGACAAGCTGAATGAAGGGCACCTCACTGATTTATTAGATCTAGTCTGAAACACACCTCTTGGGATGAAATACAAGATTGATTTTTAGTGGTGAGCCATGCTGCTACCCCGCCACTGTGCTCAGCCTGATGAGATGAAGTTGGGCATACACAGGGACAGAGTTGAAACAGCATTGGGTGGGAGAAATAAATGGAAAGATTTGCAGAAGGAAGGGGAGCTGAAATGGAAACAGGGCTTGTGACTGCAGCCCCTCAAACTGAAGGCTACTCTTTTCTTCCTGCAATCCTTCTCTTAAGATATATAGACTTAGTGGGGGAGAGAAGAGCAGCAAACTACTAGGAAGTTTAAGGGCAAGTCCAGTACTGTTCTTGGGAAACCTCTGAGTCAGACCCTTCCCATGCATCTGCCTTTCAGAGCAGCACCTCTAAATATAGCACATATAATTTTCACATCAGTCTCAACATCTACCAGGCAAACCACATTAGCTGAGTTCCATGGATGCCGTTTTCCACCAGGAAAAAGACAACTAGCACAGCAGTGCTTAGCTTGAGGCCCTATTAATAGCAGTCCTAATTATATGGCTGCAAATTTAATTCATAGCAATGATTAGTGTCAAAATCAAAGGCATCACACATCAATATTGATAGAATTGTATGAAGCCCATAAACAGAACAAGCAAGCCGACACATCTCCCCCCCAGCAGTTAGTTGCTGTTAACTGTTGCATTAATGTCTCTTCTAATTTTGCTCGATGAATATTGCTTTATTGCAGGAATCCGCAATTCTGAATGATTACAGCTCTAACATGATCCCCTTCCCCTTTGCACCCCCAGCCATGAAGCTGAGACACTTTGGAAGGAGAGCTGGAGCACCAAGCTGCAGGGAGAACTGCATCCCTCGTACCTGTGCTTTATCCGAAAGGTCACAGCATCATCAGCACATTTGCTCTTCACCCACTTAGAGAAAACTGCTGAGGAACAGCGGTTCCCAAAAACAGCGGGCTGCCAGGGAGCAGGCGGGGGGCATCGTGGGGTGCAGCCATCCCGTACAGTACATGCACCAAGCACACCGAGTCCCCTGCCCGAGGCATGCCCCACGTACGGGCAGGTTGCAGCAAGCTGGCTGGGCTAGTGCTGCGTGAGACAATTCCTCCTCCAGCGCTGGGTTTTAATGGGGAATAGATGCATCAATTCATCCTTCTCCCTCCGACGCTTACCGAGGACAAGGCAACACACAAACCAGCTATGTGAGGAGCAGCCAACCAGTCCGGGCAGCCACAGCAGGTACAAGCACACCCTCTTGCCCTGAACTCAAACCCTGACCCCAGCAAATGCTCTGGTTCCCCGCAGGAAAGATGCCAAGTTCACTGTCAGCTGACTTGACTGATATTATTGACTTATTTGTCAGCAGCTCTGGTATCAACACCCCTCCGGTGCAGCATGGCTCCACCGAACCCCCAGCCGGGCTGTGCACACTCCGCAGGCGACCTGTCCAGGCTGCCCGCATCAGCCAGACCCCGCGGGGCTCCGAAACCTGCAAAGCAAGCAGCAAGCTCAGCTGGGGAGAGCTGCCAGCCTCGCCACGGGGCTCCGCGCTGCTCCCGAGGGGCCAGAAAACTTCTCTCCTTCTCCAGCCAACACTTCAACCAGTGCTGTCTGCTGAAAGGAGCAGAAAGGGACTTCAAATGTACCCAGGAAACAGGGACGGGGGTAGAGCTAGCCAGCGCAGGGCTGTACCGAAAAGTGCAGGCAGGGATGTCTGGGCAGGCAGGGACTTGGGGACTGTCAGCATTCAGCTCCTTCAGAGGAGAGAGGCTGAAGCAGCAGCAGCCGCTCTCCCAGGGAACGTCATGTGAGGCAGTTAGGAGAATAGCTAATGGGAAGAAGGACATCAGTGAGATAAAGCAGCATTTTCAGTAATGAATTCTCACTGGGGAAGTACAGACAAATTTGAAAGATTTCAGAGCTGGCTCCTGACTTCTTTCCTCCAGCTACACAAAAGTGTCGTCTTTGAAACCCCAGACTGAGCCATCAGCTTGTTTCCAAAGTAAATCAACGGCTGTTGGAGAGGGACTAGGTGTGACGTAGCTTTTAGACATTAATCGTGTAGGTAAACATGCAAGGTGGTGAGCTGGAGAAGATACGTCTATCTGTAAATCTCTGGCACTTAGAGGCACGTATATTTTTACCATCCTCATTTCACATATGGGGAAGAAGAGCTATGGAAACGTTTACAGTCCCAAGCACCCTAAGCACTCGCTGACTTTGAGACCTGTCTGGTTTTGGAACACACACACAAACCAGAGCCAACCTGTTAACTTCCCACCGGGTCTGCAACGCCTCCTCTGCAGCGAGAGTCCCAAAAGCCCTACGGTTCAACGCAAAGCTCCTTCCTACGCTTCACATGGCTTCTCTTAGGCCACATGTCTAATGAGGAAAGATTTACTAAAGGTGTGGACAGGACTGCGAGATAACGCCCTCAGCCCCATGCAGCGGAGAACAGGACAGTGATCGCTCCAGCTAATGATAACAGGAGGCATGGGTCTCATCAGCTGCAGACAACTCTGATACATGTTAAATAAGGGTGCCTGGCAGATCCATGAAAGGCTGACTGCAGTGTATGCCTGGAATGAATTTGAGAGATGAACCAGTTTTCTTAGCGCCCGGTTACCACTGGCTCAAACAACAGGTAAAGGATTCCCGCAGCCCTCCCTCTGGGCAGCAAAGTGGATGGGCATGAATAGATTAACTTTGCATCAAAAAGGTAGGTGTTCAGTGCAGAACAGCAGAAGGAATTAAACCATGCTGGAGAGACTGCTTCTTCTGTAACGCTACATAATTCACGGAACGCACAGTAAATATCTAGTGTGCAGGCACAAGCTGGTAGCTTTAGCTACCTCTAAATGAGGCAGCTCCCCTATCCCCCCCAACCACTGCAAGCAGCAAGTACCAGGCTGCATGGCTGGTGTGAAGCTTGCTAGCGTGTGTGTTTGCAATCCGCAGAGGGTGCCCCTTCCATCCATTTAGCTAGAAAAATCCCAGTACTCCTGTGCGCCACGGCGGGCGGGGAGGGCAGGGAGGAGAGGGGCTCTGCTTACAAGCCCACTCTCCCCCATGTTCAAAATTGCCCCACTGACACTGGAGAGGCACCAGGGAGGCACCTAATTTAATACTACTCAGCACTTGTAAAGTGCTGAATGAATATTAATGAACTGATGTAATTAAAATGATGCAGACATTCAAGTGTAGTGTTTGCCTGTCCTTGTATCTTCCTGGATAGATGAGGAAGAAATTCCCTGCTGCTTAAGGACACAAAAAATTAACAGCCTGCTGTTGATTACATTTGTTAACTCCTTCCCTGGTATGAAGAAGCAGAGTCTGCATTTAGCGAGTCAAATGCTGTCATTTGTATTTCAGGTTAATTTGAAGGCTCCCAGCCTTCCAGGGCAGCATCTCAAAGGCTGGTTGTGCTGGAGCTGGAACAGGCTTCTGCACACAGTGATGAGTTGGCTTCCAGTTGCAGCTCCAACTCTAGAGACCAACAGCGGGGGGTCCCCCTCCACTTATACACCCCAAAGGTATTTCCACACTAATTTTAAACATGGGACTCCTGAGGGAGGACTAGTAAGGACCACAGTCTGCAGATGTATGACTGGGCCTGGCCAGCCTTTGCACCCCACTTACTGAAGAGTGGTTCAGAGGACTCCGAGGGGGGATCCCAGTCTGACTTCAAAATCCTAAAAGCCACCTGAGCCCCTCCACCTCCTGCATTGGTGTAGGAAACAAGAGGGAGCATCTCTTTGCCCTCTGTAACTAGCCCCAGCGTTTGCAAGCAGAGGGTGAGGAATGTTATCTTCCAGGACTGATCAATCATCCAGCTGTCAGAGGGAAGAGCAGGAGGGAAGAGGCAGGGAGAAGTGGTAGGACTTTACCCCGAGGCTTGGTTTCCAAAAGCAGCCAAGTTAACCCATTCCTATCCCTCCATGGACCAAATGTCCTGCCACCATCAGCAATTTTGCCATCACCAAAAGCTTTCTTGGTCTTCTACACAAGTCGCAGAAGGATTGCTGGGGAACAACTCAAAACTAATGCAAGATTTCCATCAGGGTATCAAAAATGAGGAAAGATCTGAGACCTTGGATACAGCTTGCTGAGGTTCACTCGCACTCAGAAATTGCAAGCCAGCTCCTCACGTTTCTCTAATCAGACCGGCCCATTATTGCCCTGGTAATTTCTGCATCAACCCCACAAACACACATACCACAGTTCACTGAATGATAAAATAAAACAAACAAACAAACAAACAAACAACAGCGTAACGCTGTAATACACAGACAGACAGTGCATGCAGGAGCTGGCACAGTGCTGAGACCTGTACTACCCTGCTGCTGAACGAAGTCGCTGGCTGGAAGCGCAGGAAGGTGCCCTCAGCCCATGCAAGGGGACGAGCTGGAGCAGTAATGCCACAGAGCAACGGGAACTGCGTAGCTTTGTTTAGCCCCTTTTCCAGGATCATACTGCAGCACTTTCCGCTGCACCTTTCCCAAGGCTTGGCACTTCTCTGCTTCAAAAGAAACCGCAGCAACACCGCTCTGTACTAACAGCACGGATGGGTGAACTTTGCCCAACCAATGCAAGGCTCTCTGACCCAAACCCTGTGATTTTTGCTCCTGACTGGCTCCCAGTTTCACGCTGGGAAATATCTGTAAGACACAGCAGCAGCTATGCACATCAGAGACTCCTGAGAGAAAGTGGATCCTGGCTTTCCCAAGCCATGGAAATAAGCTTACCTTCTTCAGCTTGCCAGTCTTAGTCCCCACGAACACCACACTGTAGCCGTTGTAGA